TTTTTTTGGCAAGTAGCTGATGTAATAAGGAGTAACTTACGCTACTGTTATTTTAGAAAAATAAAATAAAATTTCACGCGGACGAAGTCGCTGGGGCCAGCTAGTCTATAGATATACCGAGATTTAATGTTTAAGTTGCTATTATGTTATTGACAAAATTTTACTGTAATGTTTACTACATGCATATGAATATATATAAGGTACATATACCAAAATAACTATTTTTATAATTTTAGTCTGTCTGTCTGTCGGTCTGTTTGTTCCGGCTAATCTCTGAAATGGCTGGACCGATTTTGACGGTACTTTTTTTGGCAGGTAGCTGATTTATAAGGAGTAACTTAGGTTACTTTTATTTTAGAAAAATAAAGTTAAATTCCACGCGGACGAAGTCGCGGGAACACCTTGTTTTTAATAAAAACATCTTTTTTGTGGTACTTGAGAATGTTGAAGCCTGTTGTTTGTAATATTGAAATAACCGTTTTTTACTACTTGCATATGAATATAAATACGGTACATACACCAAAATAACATATTTTACAATTTTTGTCCGTCGGTCTGTTTGTTCCGGCTAATCTCTGAAATGGCTGGACCGATTTTGACGGGACTTTTTTTGGCAGGTAGCTGATGTAATAAGGAGTAACTTAGGCTACTTTTATTTTAGAAAAATAAAGTTAAAAACCACGTGGACGAAGTCGCGGGAACAGCTAGTGTATAATATATTAGAGATACCTACGTGTTTTTTATATTGATGACTAGCTGTACACGGGATTTCGTCCGTGTTCAATTTAACTTTATTTTTCTAAAATATAAGAAGTTAAATTCCACGGGGACGAAGTCGGGTGTACAGCTAGTTGTCGGTAGTCTAGCGATTTAGCTAGCACACTGCTTTGATTCCTGCTTGGTGGTCGAGGGTTCGATTCCTCGCACGCTGCAAACATTTGTATTCATGAGTATGATTGTTTGTAACGGTCTGGGTGTTTTCTATGTATAGATAATATATATGTATTTACGAAAAAAAATCTTTGTATTTATATCAGTTGTCTAGTACCCATAACATAATCTTCAGCTAGCTTAACTTGGGTCTAGATGAAGCTGTGTGAATTGTCCTGAGATTACTATTATTACTATAATAAATCTTTTCAAATCAGCCGATGTTTATTTTTGCCATAATACGTGCTGTTACCATGTGATAATATTACGTACGTACTTATTAAACTATTAACTTATTATTAAATTGTTTGTAACGGTCTGGGTGTTTTCTATGTATAGATAATATATATGTATTTACGAAAAAAATCTTTGTATTTATATCAGTACCCATAACATAATCTTCAGCTAGCTTAACTTGGGTCTAGATGAAGCTGTATGAATTGTCCTGAGATTACTATTATTATTAATTGGTACACAGGTAAACTACTAACTAGGCCATATTGGTGTTGTTTGTTATGGTGAAAAAACTAGTAGGTATATATATAAGTTACACGTACAATTTCAAAGACTTATTTCTTGAAAACTACTGGCTATTCTGAAATAAAACTTTAGTGTTTGTATATGTAATGTTTGCATATAAAATATGATTAAAGGTTACCAGTGTATTTACACTTTTACTGAACAAACAGAGTTGTTTAATACTGAAAATATTGTGTGGAAGGCATCAATTACTTTCAGTGCATGTATAGCTTTCTCTTTTCCTAATTATTATTATTATTAAGTTTAAAGTGGTTGAATTTTACGTAAGGGGTTTTTATACATTATTTCTAATTTACCATTTATTTTAAGTTTTTTAAACTCTATTCATCGAGACCTATCTAATGAGTCCAAACACGATATTTCTGCTGTAAGTTTTCGAAGAGTATGTTCATCATCTGATAATACTGGTGCCAGCATGAAGTCAAGGTTAACAGATAACTAATTACTTTTATTTCGTCAAAATCTTTAGATTACGTATAATAAATTCATAATATCGCTACCTATTCAAATCAAAACAAGTATTAGGTACTTCATGTACTAGTATATAAATTCATCAACACACAAGTAAATGATTTTTAAATATATTCAGAGCCAAAAAATCTTTGTGCATTTAAAAAAAATGCCGATACGGATTCATTATTGCAGGAAATTGTTGAAAAAATATATATCGAGTATAAGTATCTACTACTATCGACGAATACATTTGGCAACAACGCATGGTCTCGGCCGGAACGGCAACATCGCATATTAGAATACAAAGATAGTGAAAGAAAGAGAGAGACAGTGGATCAGTAATATCTACGGATCGTGGCTGGATCAACTAAGTGTGCAAGTGTATATAAATATATATATATATATACATTTGTCTTTAATTCAAAGGAAATATAAATAATGAACGCATCACATTTAAAACAGTATAAATAGGTAATAATTTAATAATAAGTTAATAGTTTAATAAGTACGTACGTAATATTATCACATGGTAACAGCACGTATTATGGCAAAAATAAACATCGGCTGATTTGAAAAGATTTATTATAGTAATAATAGTAATCTCAGGACAATTCACACAGCTTCATCTAGACCCAAGTTAAGCTAGCTGAAGATTATGTTATGGGTACTAGACAACTGATATAAATACAAAGATTTTTTTTCGTAAATACATATATATTATCTATACATAGAAAACACCCAGACCGTTACAAACAATCATACTCATGAATACAAATGTTTGCAGCGTGCGAGGAATCGAACCCTCGACCACCAAGCAGGAATCAAAGCAGTGTGCTAGCTAAATCGCTAGACTACCGACAACTAGCTGTACACCCGACTTCGTCCCCGTGGAATTTAACTTCTTATATTTTAGAAAAATAAAGTTAAATTGAACACGGACGAAATCCCGTGTACAGCTAGTCATCAATATAAAAAACACGTAGGTATCTCTAATATATTATACACTAGCTGTTCCCGCGACTTCGTCCACGTGGTTTTTAACTTTATTTTTCTAAAATAAAAGTAGCCTAAGTTACTCCTTATTACATCAGCTACCTGCCAAAAAAAGTCCCGTCAAAATCGGTCCAGCCATTTCAGAGATTAGCCGGAACAAACAGACCGACGGACAAAAATTGTAAAATATGTTATTTTGGTGTATGTACCGTATTTATATTCATATGCAAGTAGTAAAAAACGGTTATTTCAATATTACAAACAACAGGCTTCAACATTCTCAAGTACCACAAAAAAGATGTTTTTATTAAAAACAAGGTGTTCCCGCGACTTCGTCCGCGTGGAATTTAACTTTATTTTTCTAAAATAAAAGTAACCTAAGTTACTCCTTATAAATCAGCTACCTGCCAAAAAAAAGTACCGTCAAAATCGGTCCAGCCATTTCAGAGATTAGCCGGAACAAACAGACCGACAGACAGACAGACTAAAATTATAAAAATAGTTATTTTGGTATATGTACCTTATATATATTCATATGCATGTAGTAAACATTACAGTAAAATTTTGTCAATAACATAATAGCAACTTAAACATTAAATCTCGGTATATCTATAGACTAGCTGGCCCCAGCGACTTCGTCCGCGTGAAATTTTATTTTATTTTTCTAAAATAACAGTAGCGTAAGTTACTCCTTATTACATCAGCTACTTGCCAAAAAAAGTCCCGTCAAAATCGGTCCAGCTATTTCAGAGATTAGCCGGAACAAACAGACAGACAGACAGACTGTACTATGCTATACTATGTATTGATTGATATACCTAAAATAAATAAAATATCTGAGGTTTGGACAAAAACTCAAAGGGTAATTTATTTTGAAAAAGTATTTTGAAAATACCTATTTTGCTTTTAGTGTTATAGTACTTTAACTGTTATGTTTTAAGTAACAATGTTTAATTATAATTAATACTACTGCACCAACACTCCGATCGTGCAAAAAAATTTGCTGTTTCATTATTTTTTAGTTCAATTAGTGGTCTACCTAAGTTCTGGGCTAAGGGGGGGGGAGAGTCATGACGCCCCCATGACTCCCATGACCTCCATGACGCTCCCCCCCTGGATCCGCCGTTGCGTCTTCTCTTTATTCGCTCAGTAACGTTGTTACAAAAGAAAAGATTCCCGTCCAAAAAATAACAAGTATTGAGGTTTGATCTGGAGTCACGTTACTCCAGACTGATTTCTATAAATATTTAGATTAGATAGACTATTATTCTTGAAATACTAGCTAGACATTATTAAGTTACTGTAGCCATAATGTAGTAGCCCAAACGTGCCAATGAGGAAGCCCTTGGCAAATGCTGCACCCTGATTGGCCCGTTTGAATTGGATCAAGAACTGCTCGTATGCCAAAAAGGTGGATTTGTATAAAATCGTGTATAAATCACTTAATTATTATTATTACTCGTCGTGACAGTTGTGGCTCAAAACGGATCAACATTTATATATGGTCAGCTGGCATTAGATCAACAAAAGGCCTCCGGATCAACAAGTGAAAAAGGATCAACAAAAAACTACCTATACGGCACGTCTGAGCCACAAAGTGCCCAAGGGGATATTTATATATATATATATATATATATATATATATTTATGGATTTTTTTATTATTCTATTTAATTTATATGTAGATATATTCTTTTTACTTATACTAGATTTTTTCATATATATATTGCGTTATGACGCGAATTATTTATTGTACATGAATCCATCACTACATAAACCCTCTCAGTCACCAAAGGTTGACTGGGAGAAATCCTTCTTTTAGAATAAGTACACGTCATTATACATATTTATTTTTTTATGTGTACTTTTACACATAATCTGTACAATAAATACATACTACAAGAATTACAATGAAGTTGAATGAAGAAGAAGAATGTTATATGAAGATAGATTATATGACGAGGACTCATATCTTTATCTCCGAAATAACTTGTAAGGGGTGAAACAAGGGATGAAAGTTTCCGCAGAGGCACTTACGGGTAACAATATGTATAAATGTCAATTTCATGTGAGGTTGTGTCACAGCCACGGAGCACCAGGCACCCAGCTGGTGACGGAGCGCTGGTCGTTGGAGTGGGGAGCGTTGGCGGCCGGCGCAGGTGCCGTGCTGGCGGCGGTGGACGCGCGCGGCGCGGGCGGCAGGGGGCTCGGGGCACACCACACGCTGCACCGCCGGCTCGGCACTGTTGAGTTGGCTGATCAGTTAGAGGTTGCTGAGTAAGTAACGACGATTCCCAATTCAATTCAATATTTTGTGATAATAGCAGTTGCATAAATTACTAGTCAAGTCATATAAAACAAAAGAAAATATGTGCTGGGAAACAGAAGTGAAACTTGAACAGAATGCTATATCGTCTACCGTCTCCACAAAACGGTGACGCTTTTTCGTGATCGAAAAATCCTAACGCACCTCGTCTATATAGATGTTTCACTTCATGAAAAGTAAAGTCTGTGAAGCACTAAATTGTTTTTTTTTAATGAAGGTACCTTCGTGACTCGCTACATTTTATCGACGCCCGCCGCGTGGCAGTGTGGGGCCGCGCTCACGGCGGGTTCCTCGCTGCGCTGGCGCTTGCGAGTCCGCTAAATGTATTTCACTGTGGTATTGCCCTAACGCCCATAGTACGCTGGCGGTATTACGGTAATTGTTTTTTTTTTTTATTTTTATGTTGATATATGTATAAGGGGTTGTCAGAAAGCTGAAAGCATGTAATAGTATTCATTAATTTAAGAAACAAACGGTATAATTAAAGCGAAAATTGATATATTCTTGTAATTATTTTTGCCGAAGGCTGTCGATAGGTTTTTGACTCTTGGCTGCTATAATTCCTGATATGTCAGATAGACACATTCTTATTTATCACAAATTGTAATATAGGTAAAATTAAGTATTATAAAATCAGCAGTCTATACAGATATCAAGTGTTTAAGAGAATAAATTAAATATTGGTATTTTTAAATTTTCATGTTTAATATACATTATTTATATTATAAACCGGGTTTTCACACGAATAATTATCTCTCTCGACGTTTCGACTAGGTTGCACTAGCCGTGGTCACAATTTTACTGGTCAGTGATGGTCAACCTAGTCGAAACGTCGATTCGTTACTCATACTATTATTATAAAATGTAGGTTTATATCTAACAGTTTTTAACTCGTCTATATCATATGTTTCTATTTATGGATTCATTTGTTTCTTTTATAATAGCATCAGCATATGCGGAACGTTACATGGGCTTTCCAAATGCAACGGGGAACTACCGGGGATACGCGGACGCTGACGTCACGAAGCAAGCCGCGGCGCTCCACGACAAAATGTTGCTGCTAGTTCACGGGACGGCAGACGACAATGTCCATATGCAGCAAACTATGGCGCTGGCAAAGTCGCTGGCTAACCAGGGCAGCATGTTCAGACTGCAGGTAAATGGTAGTTTTTATTACAAAATAATCAAATTTCTGTAGTGACAGAACAACAAACGGTCCATAGGCACTGACCAGCTCAACCAGGGCGGCATGTTCGGACTTCAAGTAAGTTGTTTTGTCACGCACTTACTGATGAAACTATTTATATCCATATGCAAAGAAACTATCACTTTATTAGCTACACATGATACCAGGATAGCATGATTATACTAGAAGTAAGTTTTGTTTATTACGAAGCAAAACATAGCACTCCACGACAATTAGTTGATGCTAGTTCACGTGACGGCGGCATATGATAGATAGATAGATAATATTAATTTGGAGCAAACAATGGCACTGGCCAAGACGCTAGCTAACCAGGGCAGCATATTCAGAGTACAAGTAAGTTGATGTCTTGTCACGAAGCAAGCTGTAATGCTGCATACTATGCTGGTTGTAAACCTTCTCGCTACTTACTAGGAAAACATAAGGAGAACATAAGCAAGTTGTTTTTTTTTACCGTTATTAGAGATGTTGTTACGTAGAAATTGATATTTCAAGAAAGAACGACTCATACGAAAGCATAAAGAGATTAAAGAGTACATTTTACAAAACAATGTCATTTTCAATTTAAAACGCAGAAGGTTTACTTTTTAATAACTTATTTCGTGTTAACTACGTAAAAATAAAATTTGTACAGATTTATATCATTTTTGTGGAACCAAATATTGAATAATTTAATTGTTCATACATATAATGTAAATATAAAATAAACAAAACAAAAAACTTTTTTTAAAACAATTAATTTTGACAACAAAAGGTTCTGGGTCAGTATACGTCGACGGCATGATCCAATATAGCTTTACTTTTCCACCAAACCCTTTTCTGCGCATGAAAAGGGTCTAATTGGAAACGAGCACTGAAATCGCTGCAACAAACAATGACACTTACCAGCCGAGGCTTTATAGAAATCGTCTATATTAAACTTTTTTTAATTTATTTATTGAAATGCTCTTTATTGCACCAGATATATTACAGGTATAGAGTAATAGGGTACATAAAGCAGCCTTATAGCCTATGCAGTCCCTTTCAGGAAACCTCAATTTCAAATTGTCAAATTCTCACTCTTCGGCATATATATAATATGCGTGAGGTATGGCAAAGGAATTACAGAGTACGTATGCATAATATTTTAGTCTTCAAGAAAGGTAACGATAATATAGACTTGACATAAATAATGATTCACGTATCTGCCCAAGTTCATCAGGAATTAACAATAATATCTTAACAATAATAGGATGGTCCATTCGGAGATCGACCTCATTGCTAACAATTAGGTCATTAGTCCTTAGTGTTAGCTATAGCTCATAGTTGCTATTTTCGTGTTTGTACTTCAGCTTGATTGCTCTTACTGTGACAGAAGTAGATAGATACAAACATATATATATAATATAATTATTTTTTGAGTCTGGGAATCCATTTCGACCTAGTTCAAACACCAGACTGTCACAAGTAATAACTTGAAAGTTTAGACAATTTATAATTGCAATTATTTATCGACGATGTTTGTAACCGACTAAATCTCTTCAGATCTACCCAGATGAAGGCCACAACCTGGACGGTGTGAGGCGGCACCTGTTCCGCACGATGTCGTCATTTCTGGACGACTGCTTCAGGAAGCAGGTACCGCCAGAGACTAAGGCCGGGCTGCGGAATGGCGGCAACCTCGACTGAGATACGTGGAAGGACGAAGAGTTGTGCTCTTGGTGAGAAACATTTAGCCGTCAAATACTGGCCTTTTCTTTCCTTGTCTTTTATATATTTTATTAAAAATGATAATAAATCAGCAGAATTCATGCAGGTACTAGACAACTGATAGAATACTTATTTTTCAAAAACAATCCTACTCATACAAATGTTTGTATTGTGCGAGGAATCGAACCCGCGACCATCGTAAGTAAGGTGGTGCGCTAAACCGCTAGACGTCGGTTGTCTAGATCTCGTTTAGATCTTCTTGTGCTTCCTTTCCTTTTCTTGGCTTTCTTCTCTTTTTATTATTCTTCCGTGTCTCTCCTAATCTTTTTTCTATCTTCTTTTCTAGGTAGTCTACGATCGAAACAAACAAGAAGTTAATTATTACTCTTTGATTCCGAATAAATCTTTAGTACAACACTTCCATATCCCCTACAATGTCCGCCACCGATGAGTGGACTCTACACATCAAACACTTTTGTGATAACTAGACTAATCTAACTATGAGTTGTGTTGAAACTTGTTATACGTTGAACTTTTGAAGTGCGCGCCTGTATATACCTATGCGGATTACTCTTGAGAGTGGATTATTTTAATAATAATACATTTATTTATCATTATTTACTATATTCTATTTATTTTTGTAAATATCGCACTTTCTTTCAAGTAGTGTTACAATTAAAATATAATCAAATTTCATTTTTGACGGTGTTCTAATTACTTACATGACACTAATAGAGCTAAAATTACGGTTTTTTTATGTTAGATTTATTTAGGAACTTTTATCATAATATGATAATGCCAATCCCATCGTATCTTATTACTAATCTTATTAAAATTATGTTGTATGATGAAATTAGTAGTAGGTACAATAAAAAGTAGTTGAATATTTTTTAGACCGGTAACACTATTTGAACAAAGGTGAGATGTAAAGAAAAAATAGAAAATGCCTAATTGTTGGATTTAAATTTCATTGTCTGTGTTCACGGATAGATTGTGTATCTATTAAGGTTGTGTGCACATTGATGCCTTCAATTTTTTTTCCTAAGTCTAGATTTTTAAGAATTATTATCGTTTATATTAGCGATGTTCTTTAAAAATATAAATTTATTATTGAAATGACAAGCTGACACCCCCGGAATTTGTTGCTGCAGAATATTCTAGAATTACAGAAATATCTTTTCATATACATGTTTCAGAATGACACGCGAAATACTACTCTCAGATAACATTACTAAATATTACAGTTGTATAGGCTTAGTTAGAAAACGTGTACTAATTTGAAACCGTTAAATGAATATATATAATTTTTAGGCAGTTATTCGTTTTTGTATGAAATTTTCATAAATTATTTTCATATTTTGTCTATATTTCTAAATGAGTATTATTATTAGGTTTCGGGTTGGTGAAGCTTTCTGATTTACCCTTTGAATATATATTTCATTAACATTGAATAGCCTTTTCTCGTCAATACATGTAACATGATTTTTTACTAATTATCGCTTTTGTAGTAATATAAAAAGTTGCTCCGTGTTTTTAAAAATAATTGTACCCAATAACTGCTGATATAAATTTATTTATATACCTACCTTTAAATTCAACAATAAGGATATTATATTAATATTAAAATTTAAGTTAATCTGTGAAAAGAATTATGAAAATATATAAACGAAATATATTTTTTAATTAATTAATATACTGTGTAAGCTAATGTAAGGCGCTATACATACGGACGCAGTTTTTTATATATAATTTATTAAAAAACGCGTAACCTAAGTTTATCAGGGAAAGTAATATAACAATATTAATTAGTACACAACTAAGTACTAAATATTTATTTTACATTGGTGCTAAATAATATTTTTTTTCCTGGTTACCTAATTCATCTGATTTTTTTATACTCAACTTCCAAGATTATACTATAGACTTACAATATAAAAAAAAATATCTATAAGCTTCGTATGTATCGATCCTTACAAGGCGTTATGTCAACATTTTATCTGAGCTAAAGGCTTGTCCACGTGGCAGACTAGAATCTTCAATTACAATGTAATTATTTGAACCTACTCGTTCTACCTCTGTAAGTAGATAACTTTACTTAAACCGATTATCACTATGAATAAGTCCTTATTACTTAAGTATCAAACGTTATATTTAATAGATTTGTTATTTTATACTCCTAGTAAGTAGGTAATGAAAAATTCTAGCGAACATGTGGACGAGCTTTTTTAGTTTTATTTTATTTACTTTAACAAAATTAAAAATGTAATTTTACATGTTACTGAATATATTGAATTGTCATATTCTTCATTTAAGTTTCATAATCTTCGCAAATAGTAATTTTACCAAATTTAGAAACGTTTTTCTAAAATATTAGGGTCTTTTTCTATATCCTCACAAAACGCATGAACGGAGCTAGGTACAACGCAATACTTCACTTAGTAACAAATAAAGGAATTGATAAGTAGTTCTTTAGTCAATGGTTTTGTGATCTTAGTAGTATGTTGAATAGAGTTACCTTATCTTAGAATCATCATTGCATGACGTTGGGGAAAACTCGGTTGCGATTAATAATCATTGACATCATATCAGCTGTTTTAGTGCCTACACTAAAATCAGGGGTAGTACCTGAGAAATAGTGCTGGGGATAAGATCGATATATTATAGGCAGCCCTGATTTCGCTACACTGCGATCTGAGAAGCATTTCCCACTAAATACTTATCTGATATTACCCCCTTTATGAGTCGTGTGTAGGCTGTTTAATGTCTATACATAACGTTCATTTACGCATTGCATGCTTAATAATTTACTGAGTTAATTAATAAAAACATAGTTTAATATTTTCGATTTTTAGGGTTCAACATTAAAGTAGAGTACCTATACATTTTTTGTCGTAATATATTTTTTATTAAGGATTATTATATATGGATATTTGAATCATTAAAACCACAGATATAAATTAGGAATGACCTAATGAAATTTGACAACAATAATCTAATGAAAATTGAGTGTGCCATAATTTTGTACTATTTATAATGTTAAAATTTTATTAAAAAAAGCTTTCTCTTAATTAGGCTCTTTTACAGCTGCTTTTCCAAAAAAACGCAAGCAAATTTATTATTTTTTCATAAATAAATATCTGTGGTTACAACTTACAATTGTTTAAGTATTTGACATAAAAAAAACGAGATAGGTACTTTCATGCAAGAAATATACTGTTTTTTTAGTAAGTGTAATCTCGATACTTGTTCATGCACTGAATAATGAATCGTATCAACTATTCTCACTAACTTATAAAATGTCAAAATATGCTTAAGGAATTATCATGTTGCTAAGAATCACAAGAATGGGCTATCCTATACGGTTCTCTCTATAGTTATTTCAAATATAATTAATATTAGCCAACAAAGTTTTGTTTAATAAATAAAATAAAAATGCACAAGAGACGTATAAAGTTGAGATATTAAAAAATATTACGTATAGAAATATTGCGTACTAATGGGAGGACAGAAAAGGCAAAATACCCTCTCATTTCTAGAAGATCACATGATTCAACAAGATGAGAGAAAGACCTAGACGTTGTTCTAGCGTGAATACGCAATCTGTCACTAAATGCGAAACTTTTAAACGTTAAAATATGTTAGTTTCTGAAATCGTTAATCGTTAAGAATCTTCTGCATTGTACGAAATCAGCTAAGACATTTTCAAGTTATGGTCTTACCAACGTAAATAGGGATTCATTTTTAAAAAGTACAATTTTGCAATTACCTACTGACGATTTCTCAGTGGTAATAGCGACTGCAACGCTCAAGTTCATAAAAAATTGAAAACGGGTTATTTTATTGTTACAATTCAGAATAATAACAACATTACATAAGCCCCAGATGCAATTGTTACATCACTGGTAGTGGGAATACTACTAATAAAACAATTCACACAGCGCCATCTAGACCCAAGTTAAGCTAACTAGAGCTTGTAGTATGGGTACTAGACAACTGATACAAATACATAGATATATATTTTTTTATTAAATACATACATAGAAAACAGCTAGACCGATACAAACAATCATACTCATGAATACAAATGTTTGTAACGTGCGAGGAATGCGACCATCGGAAGTAAGGCAGTGTGGTAATCCGGTAGACTGCCGAGGTCGTTATCTATATATATATAAATAAAATTGGAGTGTCTGTTTATAATATTGAAATAACCATTTTTACTACATGCATATGAATATAAATAAAGTACATACACCAAAATTACATTTTTCACAATTTTTGTCTGTCTGTTTGTTTATTTGTTTGTTCCGGCTAATCTCTGAAATGACTGGACCGATTCTGACGGGACTTATTGGACAGAAAGCTGATGTAATGAGTAACTTGGGCTACTATTACTTTACTTTACAGCTAGTACTTAAATAAATTTAACTTATTAAACTTTTTAAATTAAACAACTTCTTTACTTCTTGCATAGAGAAAACACTTAATTTACTGTCGGTTAAAACTACGTTATAGGATATCTCAATGTTGTGATTCTTCGTAAAGGATTGTGGTAGTATCGAGTCTCTTATAGGAAATATACTGTTGTCTGTTACCACAGAACAAAAAATAGTAGAAATTATACTTATTACTAATGACACATGCTGGCTAGACACAGTTCAAGAGGATAGGTGAGTTCTGGTCTACTGAGATACAGGCTTCGTACCTAGTTCAGTTCCCAGGCTCATACAATCACAAATTGTTTATATAAACAATTTAACACCTGTATACGATTGTGGCTTAATAAAAACATATTTTATTATTGATTATTATTATATATATTAAATTTAATTATTTATTATTATTATTAAAACTCAGAGCAGTTATTTCATCGTTAAGTTTTCATCAGTGTGGTGATTTTATATGCTACGTGTGATTGCATTACTAACATACTGGTTTGAAATATTACACTTTATAATTAACTGCACACACAGTACCAT